GAACCGGCTCTTTCCGGGAATTTCCGTTTCGAGCTCTGAGTCAAACCTTTGGGGGAGGAGCTCCTGTTCGTAACCAATAGCTTTGACTGGGGGGGCCCTTGTTCTCGTGAGCGTTAGTCGGCGGGGAACGGTTGGCCTGTCGATAATTGCGAGCACGCCCTGGCGTGGTCAGTTGCGGCTCCAAAATCTAGGCGTCACCAGGACCTTCCGAAGGCCCGTGCGCGGGGGGGGAGGGGCAAGAAGAGAGGGGAAGGGGCATTCACAGCAGTGGCTGGTCTGCTGAGCCCGGTCGACGACAGGAGGGTTACTAGGGATAGCGCGGTCGACCCCCCGCCTGAGGGAAGTGCATCGCCCGTTTTGACGGGCCGTAAGGGGCTTGCGGGCCTGTCGACATTGGTTGCTGGGAGGCCCCTCGGCCTAGGAAGTTACCGCCCAAGAGGCCAGTAGGCCCGCTATATCTTCTGGAGGAGCAAGCAGCTCCTCATTTGCCGTATGCAAGGATTGGCGACATGCTGCTGGAGCCAATCGCTGGAATTGGGCAGCACTGCCTGGAGGAGAAGATCAGCTGGGCGCTCAGGCTGGCTATGGCGAGCAACCCAGCCCGAGGAGGAGGAAGAAGGGGGCGAAGGAGGAGAGTGGCGAGGTACCTACATGGCTATGGTGGACACCATCTTGATCACCTTATTGGGCGCTGCATCTGGAAGGCCCTAGTTGGGGTAGTGCCACACCAAGGAAGCTCAAGGCAGAGTCAGACATGGCGGCCTAGTCAGCAGCGTCATAGCTGCATTGGGTTGTCCTTTGGACGGGAGTGCAACGTCATAGCTGCTTCGTGTTGTCCTTTGCACAGGAGGGCAGAGCCCTCAGTAGTCCGCCATAGCCTAGGCATGTGAGAGGAGGAAGAAGGAGGGGAAGCCATAGCTATGGTGGACCTGTTGTTGAGTCAGCAGTAAGAGGGAACTTTTTGATTCTTGTGCATCCACTCATTGTTATTATTATTATTGGAAGAAGAATTAGATTGGCGAAGTGAAGGAGGAGGAGGAAGGTGGAGAGAGAAGGGAGATTTGTCATTGGTCTTGCTGGTGTACTTCTTCATCTTCTTCGTCTTCTTCTTCTTCTTTGGTCTCTATCTCTTTTGCAAGTGCTTTCATTTCTTTCACAATTGGGTGGCATTGTCCTTCATTGTGAATTTGCACTCTGGGAATGACCAGGATCATAACACAAGTGTTTGTTTCGAACTGCAGCTTGGGAATTCCTGTTCATAGATCATCTCAAGCATGCCATGTCGGAGCCTTGTGTTAAAAAAAAAAAAAAAAAAAAAGCACTCCATGTATGGTGAATATGTAGGTGTATGCGAGTGCGCATTAGAGTCCTCAACGCTTTGTTGCTATTAATTGTCCTGGTGGTTGTTGCAAGCTGAGTTATGGGGCTCAAACCAACGATTGGATGCCGACAATGGATATGAATTTTGGCACTCCATTCTCGATCATTGAGCGAGCTTGCGTGATGGCACTCCACACAGCTATCGAATCTTGGTTCCCTAGACCAGATCCCCCTTCCTTCCCCTATCAGACAGGCCAGGAATGAGTTTGCGAGTGTGCATTCATCAGGCGCTTGCTCACTCGCTCTGGCCCACCCTGTATCCTGACTCGAGACGCCTCTAGGGATACACACTGCTCGGGTTTGTTGCTATCGAAACTGATTACCCACCTTTCTTCACCCTTCTCCCTTATCACCTGTTGATCATCATACCGTGGTTGGGGATTGCCCCGTATTGGCCACATAATTTGTGTTTCGGGTGCAGGCGGGATTATGTCTATCGCACGCACGGGTTTTCCTACAAGACTCACAACAAAGAAGAGCTTCGTGCTAGAAGCCTTCGGCGGAGACCTTCGTGTCACACTTAAAACTCTGCGAGCCCCATAGGCACCATGTGGCTGAGCAGCGGGACCCGCATTTTCTCCCTGATGTTCATTGGCCTTGAAAAATCCTATGCAGATGGTGGACTTGATCCATGCCCCACCCCGCCAGCATTTTTGTGGGTTAATTGCTTTGAGTGAATTCCATTCTGTCCTTGGAACTTCGACACCAGTTCAGCCAAGCCTATGTGTACAGACCGACCCCCGGGGCTGTCTTCCGTTCAAAGTGATAAATTATGTGGAATAGGCCTTGAAAGAACATTAAAATGGGGTGTGCCAAGGATTTTTGAGAAAATTGTGGGGGGGGCACAAACATAACTGAAATCCCCTGTGTGGTACCGATTTAGTGAGAAATGGCCATAGCCGCACTGGAAGGAAATAGAGCGCACTACTTTTGAACCTCCATGCGGGCTACTCGTCGTCTTTTCGAATGGAAGGGCAAGGGTACGCACATGAGATCTCGCTTTCGAATAAAGTCTCGGCGCTGTTCTTTACAGAGTTCGGAATCCAACGTGGATGGCCTCAGCCTGGTCACTCTTTCCTTGTGTTCGTCTTCGCCACGTGTCCGGTAGTGGAATCCCCTTTGCCGATAACGCTCGATGAGGCGACAATCGCTACACAGTGTTGGGCCAATGGGGTGCCACCGCCGTCCACGGGATAACAATCAACTTGTTAATGACAAAACCAGCGTCTACGAATCCGAAGCACCTCGTTTCAGGAGGAAAATAGCAGCATCCGCCGATCTTGGCGACGACTTCTTGTACGTCTCACTCGCATACACGTGTTCTTTCCTCGTTATACGGGAATGGGCGTGGTGGGGACACAGGAAGTCGACGCCAGTCGGATCGGGGCAATCGGTCCAGATGGTAAAGCAAAACGGATTGCGCCTGTCTAATCAGTCCGTTAATCGATCACAGGAATAAGCAGACACAACACTATGCCTTATCTTCCATACATCATGCAAGCTGATCTAATCAAGAGGACGATCATCATACATTCGTGCAAACATGCATCGTATCAGAATCTTAATCCGTTCCCGTCATCGGGCCGAGAACTCAATTGATACATTCATGTAAGAGATAACTCATGCATAAACCGTCATATGCTAAGAAGTAAAGAAAAGGGCAAGGCAAGATCTCTTGAGCTTGCTGGTCTCTCAAATTCAACGGTACTTGTCCTCGCAAGATTCGATTGAATTCGATGAGACGAGCAGGACAAAATCTTGGGAGCTGGTAGGGACGTGGGAGTTATGGGAACTTTCAGACATTCATGACGAACACACCAAAAGAGAGAGAGAGAGGGAAGGAAGATAAAGTCGGAGGAGGCGGACAGAGACATAGCTTGACCGACAAAGAGGACTAAAGATACAGAAAGAGTTATAAACACACAAAGAGATTTGAGAACCGAGACTGGCAATCCGCCGTGAAAGAAGGAGGAACCGAAGATCAAAGACGCACAAACCTTCTGCTCTCTGACTATGGCCCCGGACCATACAACCCCTTGTTCACATACACCTTCCTTTCCCTGGTACTAGCGATCCGGTTACCACATGCCAACCTCCACACCATAGCGATCGTCACCCTGCCAACTCAATTTCTACACCGGCTTGCCCAGATCCTGCATTCCGTCATGGCCACCGGACGCACAACCTTGCAAATCGATAGTCAGCTCTTCAGGACTTTCTGACTCGCCATGCATACACATCATCTAGCCACGACTTCCTGGAAGTTGGCAGATGGGTTGAGAGGGAGCTTTTCGAAGAGGGAGATAGAAGATGGGAGGGAATGGAACGGAGGTAGGAAGGGGTGAGGAGAGGATTTAGGTTAATCGCCCGGGGAAAGCCATATCGATCTCTGGGAGTTTCTTCGCAGCCAATCAGATTACAGTGTGAGAGGAGTATCCTCCTTACACGATGTCGCCTGATGGCTTGAGTATCCTGGGGGGGACCGGTAGGGGGCTCCTGTACGGGGATGAGGGCGGGAAGAAGGAGAGCGCGGCAAGTAGTATAGAGTGGGACCAAGATCAGACGGGAAGGAGCGGGAGAGAAGGGTGTGGGGAGAGGGGATGGAAAACAGTTACAAATGGAGAGAAGAAGGCGCGGAGAAGGGAGAGGCAAAGATGGCATGGGGATAGTAGGAAACAGGGGGGGCGGGGGGTAGCTTGCATACATGGCGCCGACACAAAAACAAAAAGGCACCAAAACAGTTATGTTCCGCCCATTCTAGTTCTAATACTAATTCAAGACTAAGAAATTCAAAAACGATATCTGCGTGTGAGATCAGACGCTGGAAAATTCTACGCCTATTCAGCTCCTACTGAAAATTCACAAAGTTCTCAGGGGTGAATTTGGGAGCATTCATTTGCAAGAAAGGACACGCCAGCGGGAAGCGCGACCATAAACCCTGGTATTCCCAACTGCTGTTCAAAATTCCTAGCGCACTAACTGAGCCGCGCGTAAGTCCTACGAAACTCGCGAAAAAGTTCTCAAAAAAAAAAGAACAATAAGTCTTGAAAAAGTAGGAGGGCCTCGTCAGCCATTGGTTTCATGCATGCCGCAAGCAAAAAGGAAGGGTACCCCTAAAGCCCGTTAAAGATCGAAATACAGATAACAAAACCCGGGGCTTCAGAAGTTCTTTCGGGTACAGAAGCTGGTACGCCATATGCATGCAAACCGCATATTTTCTACTTTGGCTGGGAAACATACTTGTGGCGAACTATCAGTTTTCGAATCCACTTCAGGCTCAAGGCCTTGGGTCTGTATTTGGGGATTAGCAAGGCCATTTGGGTTGTATCATTGAGTCCTTGGCCACCCAGCTGATGACATTCGAACTGTCACAGTCCCCTCTGCAAAGAAAGGCAGCCATCTTTCGTTTGAGAGATTTCAATGCCTCACCGCTCAAGGGCCATAGTAACGATCTATACCATATAGATGCAAATACAATGTTATTGATCTCAAGCGCTCTTCCGAAAATAGAAGTGGGCTTATGTTTCCAATTGGCCAATTCGGTGAAAGCTGGGGAACTTTTCCATTCATCATTTGTTATGGGTCTACCTTGTGGAGTCGTGGATATCCCCAGTATCCTCACCGGGTCCGCCAGTGGGATCTAGGAAATGTTGGGAGAGTTCAGGGGCCGCCCGCTGAGGAAAGGAGGAGGAGGAGGAGGAGGAGGAGAGGAGAAGAAGAATACGAAAGGAGGAGGAGGAGGAGAGGAAGAAGAAGAAGATGAAGGAAAGAGGTGGAGGAGGCTTCACCACGGTGGCCAGAGCAGCTTCACGGGCAACCACGATGGGGAGGGCTTCTCGACGGGGCAGCTCGACGGAGACAACGATTGGCAGCTTGACGGGGAGGAGCAGCGACGATGGGCGGGCTTCGCGACGGCAGCAACGACGAGCGAGGTTCGTGACGGCAGCGACGACAAGCGAGGTTCGTGACGGCAGCGACGATGGGCGGCTTCGCTACGGCAGTGACGATGGGCTTCGCAACAGGGAATACCGCGTTCAAATTGGAACGCGGCATCGTAGCCCGCCAGAGGGGGATTCGATAAGTACTCGTAGATTCAAAAAAACAACTTTTCCTGGTGTTGATGGAGGCTGGGAAGGCGGCCGGTAGCCGAAAAAGACCTTCCCCCCCCCGCGCGAAATTGCACTGGGCTCGCCTGGCCCCAAACCGGGGGACCCAACCGGCCGGGCCGCCTGGGACCCCTGCCAGACGAAGGCCAGGCCATCGGACGGTCAGGAGTTTAACACAGGTATTTGGCACAATTTTCAGCCCAGATACGACGATAATTACCGGGCGTTCTATTCGGGTGAAGACTGTAGCACCCAATGCCTATCCTACACAGTCCCCTCAATAATCCCCACACTCACCCCATACGGCCCCTCTACCTCATCATCGCCTTCACCCTTCAAAAGCAGTCCCACAACTCATCCATCTCTGTCACGCTCCAGCCAGCCTGATCCCCCTCTCAATAGTCATGATGCCCCAATATTACTACTACTATTCCCCCAGACCACCAACTGTATACCCCAAATATCCCATCTCAAATCTCATCTCATTCCTTAATAATCTTTAATTAACAGACACAAGTATTGACACTGTGTCCACCCCCCCAAAAAAATAGGGCAATTTCAGACCCCTACGGTTTAGTGTTTAAATAAGGAGGGAAGAGAAGGAAGGTTTAGGGTTTAGGGTTTAGCGTCTAGTTCCTAGAGACTCCAGACAGAAGAAAGATATAAAGAAGAAGTCAGCAGTTCTATAGTCTACACAGGCTAGGACGATTGGCATTAGCTGGTTTAAACAAGTAGCCAGACGAGCAGTTCCTGCACTTTTATAACAAATCTGACAGCTCAGTAGCTGAGAGGAACAGGCCAATCTGCGATTGCATATCCAAACAACACTCAAAAGTTTGACACAGAAGAAGTCATTCCAGCATCCATTACCAACAGTACCGTCTTCACCGAATAGAACGCCCCATCATTATAGCTGTATTTGGCACAACTTTCGGTTCAGATGCACCGATAAGGACCGGGCGTTCTGTTCGGGTGAAGACGGTAGTTCAACAGGCTAACTTAGGCCGGGGTGAGTGGTGGTACATCCTTTCTATCTAAGGGAAGTAATCAATGCCGTCCACTCAGGCCTCTCAACCGTAATGGGGAGGAGCGTGCGTGAGTTCCTGAATCCTTATGTAATTTCTTCAGACTTGCCGGTGGAATAGGAACCGACTGATGCTCCTCAGAATGGATATGGAGCTGGAGGCATAAGGTTCTGCTATTCTTGGGGAAAAAAAAAAAAAAGTACCTTTGACTTGCCGGGGGAATAGAAACCAGACTGACGCTCCCAGAATGGAAAGGAATCAGGGCCATGAGGACCTAGTTCGAAAAAAAAAAGAAAGGCCTTCAATCTTCACTGGCTTGCAAAGGTGGGACTTGAAGGTATCTTTCTGGTTGTTTAGCTGCTCTAGGAAATCGCTTGTCTCAGTTGTCTGTCCTGTGCTGTGATCTTGAGCTGTGCTCTTTTCTTGCAACATGCCAGAATGTTTTTTTGTTTTTTTTTGGACAAAAGAACCTCCTTTCTATATGTGGGGAGCAGCATAAAAATGTCCTTCAAATGAGAACAAAATTATGATTTAAAACTTTGTCATTACAGGTAGGGGAACTGCTCTGTGCTGGAGACACTCACTGGGCAGCAAAAGCTTTTCATAGTGCACGCCACACAGCCATGACCTTTGGTTTGCTCTGAGGAGCAGTTGGTTGATACCAAGCAAGGCGGATGGAGATCATCACTCGGCATGAGCGACATCTACTTCACCGGCATCTAACAAGCTCCAGAAAGGCCAGAAAAGGGTCCGCGGCTGCTGGATCTTCAAGGCAATGTACAGTAGGCCAGTGCTTGACGCAGTTGGCCCTGAAAGGCGAGGAGCTGGTGGAGGAGCCACAGAGAGGAAAAGAAATAGTTTGCAAGCATGGTGTGAACATGCCTGCAAAATTCAAGTTCAAACTCTGTCTGGTGGCGAAGGGAAGCAAAGCTGGACCGAAAAAGATGTGGAAAGAGAACTTCGTATGTGGTGCGTTGGCCTCTCTGATGTCCAAGGTCATTCTACAGCCATTCGACATGATGAAGACTATCCTGCAGGTTTGGTTCCCACAAAAGATGGAATCGCCTCTTTGTAGACGACATAGGCTGATCCAAAAATCCATCCAATGGTTTTGCTTTCATTTCCTAACACACAGCCTGTGTCTGGTCTATGGTCCCTTTCCCACCACCACCACAATCTCATGTCATGGGCTTTCAGCGGTGGCCATTGTCGGGCCGCGCAGCTTGATGGTTGTGATTTTTGGGGAAATTGTGGCAGATCAGAAGTTTTTAAGACTCGCCACGATCAAGAGAGATTTTGGCAGATCAGAAAAAGAGAGAAGAAGAAATAAATGGAAGGGCCTTTTTCATCCAATGTAGGCCTCAGGCCTTKTAACTAAGCAACGTGGGCCATGTAAAAGTAAAGCAGCCTGAAAAGGTATCTCGCCAGGGCTCAGAAACGTGAAAAGCAGGTCAAGAGTCCAAGTTCTCTACCAACGGGCACATCCTGAAGCAAAG